TCCTCTGGGTCTAACGTGGCCTTTTTTTTGCTGAGATGGAGGTGCCACCTGGACAAATACCTCAATCCAACCCCAAAATAAAAGCCCATATAACCGGCTCCATTCTTCAACAGCTTAACAACCTTGTTAACCCTTGTTTTGTTCTCTCCGAGGAGCCCAAGCAGAGGTATGTTTGTTTCCTCAATGGAAGCTAAATCAAGTTTATGCTCTTAAATCAGTGATTTTGATGGGTGTTTTGAGGGGTTTGGTGGGTTTGGGGTTTTGTAAGTGCAGATGAAGAAAGGGGAAATCCAGGGAGAGAAGATGAAGAACTGTGAGCTGTGCGAAGGCGCCGCCAGAATATACTGTGAGTCCGACCAGGCGATCTGTGTTGGGACTGTGACCGAAAAGTGCATGGCGCGAACTTTCTGGTGGCAAAGCACACGAGGAGTCTTCTCTGCCACTCCTGTCAAAGTTGCTGAATTTGTGTATGAGATTTCTTTGGTTTATGGTGTTTTTGCTCTCTTGTTCTGGGTCTCTTTAGTGGTTTAGACGGTATTTTGAAGTGTCATTACTTAGCTTATGGGTTTAAAGTTGTCTTCTTTTTGTGAATTGAGGCATGAATTTTGGAAAAGATGTTAGATTTGCTAATTCTGTGACCTGGGTTGTGCCGTAAATGATTGTTCTTTGGCGTTTGATTTTTTGAGACTTCGTTTTATATTTTGGGTTGTGGAATTATCGGCTCGGATTTTAGCTTCTTTCTTTTACAGGCATCGTTTTAGATTTTGGCTTGGGTTAACAGTTAGCTCAATTGCCACCAGGGCAGAGTAGAGAGTGAGAAAATGGTTATCATCTACTCCAAGCTTTTGTGAATAGTGAAATTCGTCCACACCATAAGGAAGACGAGCATGATAATCTTCTAAAGTGTATCGGCGACAATGAACCTGTAATTCATTTGTACGAATTGTTGGTGGAAATAAAGTGGAAAGACAAGAGCGGGACAGCGAATATGGCGACGAAATGGTTGATGCCGGAGCACTGGTCTGGCGAGAAAATCTTCCACCAGCGCATCGACCCGTATGCCAAGATCATCGCTACGTAAAGCGGAATCACTGCCTTAAAGACGGTGTACAAATCCTTCCAAGAAATCATTTTTCACAAAAAAAAAAAAGAAAAGAAAAGAAAAGAAAAGAGTTTTTGTTAGTAAAGATTTTTTTTTCTTTGGCTAAAAACCTGTTAACAAAGATTAAAACTTTGAAACCCAAGAAAAAAAAAAAAAGCCACGCCTGACGCAGGGGGTGGGGGGCTTATGAGTGGATCGTTAAAAGTTAACGGATGATGATGTCAGCTTAATAGAGGGGCTGATTTGCCACTGCAGGTGAGTTGAGGGGTTGATTTGCCGGTGAAGTGTGTTAAGGGGGTGATTTGCCACCAGTTGTTGAGTTTAGGGGGTGATTTGCACCTTTTGCCTTTAATATAGTAGTCAAAATAGGCCACGACACGACAATTAATCAATGGGCCCACGAAGAATTCAATTGGGTTGATGTGGGCCCACGAATCTTGAAATTCAGTTGAGCCGGCCTTTCTTTAGTCTTTCCTAATCCTACCATATTAT